AAATTTTTAAGCCCTTCCTGCTTTAAATATAAGAAACAAAAACATATAACTAGCCTTGCATGAAGATAGGACAAGGCAAGTACAAACTGACATTGCACAGGCTTTAGCCTTGACTCTTATTAATAGTCATTACAAAGGCCAACATAATAGAAAATTGCCTCCTTTTCATGGTAAATAAAAACCTAAAATCAAATGGACACATAGCAATATAAGGTATACATACTTTCATCCTTGTAGTTGACTTAATTCTTAAGCCTTAATAACATGTTTTTCAGTTTGTGTAATTATGATATGTGTATTATTACACAATCTTATAGACTTATCAATGTTTCACATTAAAATAATTAGGGCACTGACTTTCAACCTTATTTCATGATTCAAGAGTCCTGACATTGTAATTGAATTTATAAAATCTATAAGGTACAAGTCATCAAGTGAATTCATGTCCCCATCATCCTTCACAATGCTATTAGAACTCAAGTATACAACTTCCTCTTTAAGGATGATGAACAACATGTTCCTATTTACTTTTTCAACCATAGGCAACATAGGTCCTAAGATAGCCTTATCTCTAAAATGTAAAGAGTTATTGACATTGTCAAGGAAATTTGGCAAAGTTGAATCAACAATGGACTTTATTTAAATCATCTAGTAACAAATCAATCGAGATCTTAATATCCACAGATCCTTAATTAACTCCAACAATAGTCTTATCGCTAATTGAGATGATTCAGTTAGCAAAATATTGAATAGTACTATCAGATGCCATATTATTTATTACCATAAGTCTTATGCTTCTTGTTAGTGTAAGGAGTTGACAATTATTCCAAATTTATGAAGAGTTAATGATAGTAAAAACAATCTCTTCTCTAGATCCACTTGGAATAACAAGAAGGACTTGCTTGAAGTTTCCACCAAACATAACAACTTTACCTCCAAATGAAAGATTAGCAGCTAATGAATTACTAAACTTTAGAATATCTTTTAAGCATTTTTCAAGAGCTTCAAAGGCATAAATTTGACCTAACCTTTCAATAAATTGGCTTGACTTGCAATAGGTTAGCCTGTAGGCTCTTGATAAAGATGTGATGTACTTCCTTTTTTTTTGGCATGCATCCACCTTTAGTGATATGATGGATGCCATTAATAGTAATGATGGATATCTTTAAGACACGAAGGTTCATTGCAATCAATGTGCAGATAAGCTTGTTAAGCTTAACGTGAATGAATATGGGGGTTTTCACAAGTCAAAAAAAGCGTGAGCATTACTGTCTTATGTCATTTGTTGTTACTTGTTAGAACCAGGCAAATGGGTTAAACTTGGATAGGTTCAAAGCCAATCCGATTTAACCTATTGCACCTAACTTCTCAGAAAAGCAGACTATCCCATCTATCCTGGCTTTTATTTTTAAATGTTAAAGTTTTTTTTCTATAATTTTCTTTGAGAAGTGTTAGATATTTTGTATTAATAAGTGAAGAATTTTTTTTCTTAAATTATTTTTTAGGGTAGCAAAAATTTTTATCCATTAGTGATCTATTAACCATATCATTTTCTGCTAATGTAACATGTTATTTAGTGCTAATTTGTTCATGAACTCTTTCTCTAAGAACGTTGGGCACCCCAAATTTTGTTAAAATAAAATTTATAAATATTATTTAAATTTTTAATATTTACTAAGAAAATTATTTTTAGGAAAATTAATATTAAGTAAGGCTTTTAAATTCTCTAGGTAATTTTTTTTAATCAACTAATGGTCAAATTAACAGATATTTAGAACTACAGTTTCAATTTTTCTTAATTGGCATTTTCATAGAAATTGATAAAATTAATATTACCTTGTTGAATTTGTAACCCATTTTTCTAATTTTAAAATTGGAAACAAATTACATTATATGAAAATACTAATTAAAACCTTCCATTTTAAACATTCATTAAGTTGACCATTAGTGTGGTTAAAAAAAATTATAGAGAACAACCTAAAAACTTTTTGAGTCTTAATCAACGTTGATTTTCTTAAAAAATTATTTTCTTGATAAATATTATATTAAATATTTTAATAATATTTATTAAATTTTATTTTAACAAAATTTTAGAATGCTCAGCGTTTTTAGTAAAGAGCTTAAGAATAAATTAACATCAAAGAACATGCCACATTAATAAAAAAAATGATAAACTTAATGGATCACTAATAAATAGAGATTTTTGCTTGTTTGGACAATTGTTCAGGGAGAAAAATGCTGCATTTGTTAGTATGGGGTGCTCAGCGCTTTTTGAAGAAAAGTACAACAGTAAAAATGAACCACTTTTTTTAAAAAGTATTTTTTTACATTTTTACTTTTACTGTAACTGTAAAAAAAATTTGCGTTTATTTCAAGTATAATATTTATTTAATATCATGGTTTTGTTTCATGTTTGATTTCTCATTTTCTTTATTAATATACTAATTTTATATTGAAACAATAATTATGTAAAATAGATTATATGGCTATATTTGTAAGTATGTAAAATAGATTATATGGCTATATTTGTAAGTTTTGGAAGGAATTTAATCACAATAGAAACAACTTGATTTTATTCTATAAAATTTATAATTTAATTTAAAAGTTAAAAATTGATTTGAAAACGTTTTTTTTTTTTCAAAAACAACATGTAACTTTATGAAATGTATTTCCAATCCTGTTTGTTGTCTCAGGACTCTTCACCAGTAAAAATTAATAATTAATAAATAAAATAAACGGACTTTAATGACATACTAAATTTTAATGATAACGGTAGATCATATTATTTTCAGTGGAAGTATGTTCAATTTTTTTAATATATTCAATTTAATATTATATTATATACTCGTATTAAATCGAAATGATGGACCACTCGCATTCAAAATCACCCAAGCTGTTTTTTTCAAAAAAAAAAAAAAAAATACAGCGAGACAGCTTATTTGCCTCCATAGAGTGCTAAGTGTTGTAATCAGTGGAAGAAACATTATACTTTATACATTAAACTTGACTACTTTTCTGTATTAAAAAATGAATACACACACGCACACACTTTTGGATTGAAACTTAAATTTATATTCGTCGTGTGCTTTTAATAATTAAATAAGATCAAATAAGTTTAATTTAAAAATAAGTTTAAAATATTAATAATAAAAATTATTTATGATATAAATATGAATAAAAACTTTACTTATGTTATATAAGAAAAATTTACCTATTTTAATTTGATGGGAAAAATATAAAATTCAGCACACCACTAGAGTTTGGGAATATAAGCTAACCCAAACTAAATGAATTGGCTCATATGAGTTGGAAAAAATATGAGTTAGGTTGAGTTTAACATATTTTTATGAGTCGAAAAAATTTTAACCCAACCCAATTTTTAAAAATTGATGGGTTGAATGGGCTAACCCTCTAAGTCATTTATTTTTTAATAAATTTTAAGAAAATACACTTAAATGATGAGTTTTAATTTGATATTCCTTCATAGTTCATTCTAAATTCTATATATACTAAAATATTAATCTATAATATTTGAATAAAATATATTAATTGATTTAGTTAAGCAAGTTATACTCAATATAGTTCATATTCACTAAATTTCTCACCTTTTTTATTTTTTTAATTTTTTTAAAATATGGGGTCAAACAGACCAACCCTAGCCAATGGGTTAGTTGATACTTCTCTAATTCTCTTTATAAATTATTTTTATCAATTTTCTCAATATTAATGTAAAAAAAGTATAAGTAATAAAAGTGCATACACTTCTAAATATGTTCATGCATAATAAATTCAAAAAGTAATACATGTTACTTTTTTTCTCTCATGAAGGATAGTTTTAAAAATACTTTTTAAATATTATTTAAAAAGTCATATCATGACTTATAAATGAAATCAAATAATCCTTTTAAAATGTAACTTATAAATGAGACCGAAGGGATTATGGTTTAAGGGTTATATAGTGCAGGCTAGAAGAAATTCATTTTTATTTGAGTAAATTTATTTTAACCTAACTTATCATTTATGACAGATTATTTAATTTAATCTATATAACTAGATGTGAGAATTAGGGAGGGCCCAACCTTATAGGCTCAAATCCTAAAGCTCGGTTACTCAAAATTTAACTTCATTTTGAAACCTAACCCTTTTTTAAAAGGCTTAAGGCCAGGTCCTTAAGCCTTTTTTCTTAAAAAAATTAATATTTAATTTAAACAGAACATTTTAAAATTCAACATGAAACAAATCAAAGCGTTACATAAAATTTGATAAAGATTTAAAATTTTAAATTTAAAATGAAGATTAAAATTTTCATCAATGTAAATTTAAATCTTCCTCCTCATCATCTAAAAATAAAATATTAGAGTTGAAGATAGTGGTGAAAATTTAATATCAATTATCTCTGCAACTTTTTCGTCACCTCCTACAATAAATATTAACCAAATTATATCATTATCAATCAAATATACTCCATTTATCTTTATATATAAGATATTTTTAATTGAATCATACAAACTAATAAAAGTTAGTTATCTAATTAAAAGCACGGAAACATTCTAATTTTGCCTCTAATTATTGTAAATAAAAAATGAATATAATTTTTAAAATAAATTAATGAGAGTACTTCTTTTTGCTCTTTCCAATTTAATAAGGGCATAGTAGTCCATTCATAAAAATATACTAACAATATCTTATATTTAAGGATAAAAAAAGCTTTAGAAAACCTCTTATATATAGAGATGGAGGGAATATATATACATATGTGTGTGTATAACATAACTGGGTTTGAAGGACCATCAGAGTTTTTTTTTAAAAGACTTATTAAGATCAGGCTTTTAAGTTTGATTAGTTTAAAAAAATTTAATTTTTAAAACTTAAATTTTTATCTAAACAAAATTTTTAAGCTCGAATTTTATTTCTGAATTTATATATAACCTAGCTTCTATTCTCGGTTCTACGCACAAGTAATTTCTCTTCACTTATGACGACAACTTATTAAAAAGAAGGGGAAAACAAACTCATTTTCCTCGCCACAGCCTCCTTCGGTTTTTCGTCAACCTCAGGGCATATCTCTAGTAGATCCCTGTTTCCCGTCGCCACTCTCCCCTTTCTTGGCTGCGTGAGCGTGCAAGGCCTGCGAAGATGAGCAAGGGACCAGGTCTTTTCCCCGACATCGGCAAGAAAGCTAAAGGTGCTGGCATTCAAAATTTGAATTTTCTCCCTTGTCGTGATGATTTCATAACACTAGTCGGAGGCAAAAAAGAAACTCATTCGATTTGTTCTTGCTCCTAGATCTTTTAACTAAGGACTACAGCTCCGATCAGAAGTTCACCGTTTCTACCTACAGTGGCGCCGGAGTGGTAAAACCTTTGGGATTTCAATTGCTTCCCGGTTTTTTTATTTTGATTTTACAATTCAGTTGGTCTGTTCCTTGGTGCTATTTCTCTGTTGAAAGTGTATTCCATTATTCAGATATTCTCCTACGTTTTTTGAACAAGCTCGAGTAGTTTCTTTATGTAGTTTTTTTTTTTTAAATGACAATGCAAATGCCTAAATTAGATGCTTATGTGTATGTGGTTATTCATTTTGTGGTCAACATCCATCGTACCTATGATCCATTCCATAATCGCCGTGCTGCACTTGTGTGGCATTTCAGTGATTGGCTTAGTCCATGTAAAAACATTGAAAAGACAACTGGTTAGTGTCCTGTCTTGCTTTGTTGTTTAAATGCATCCTGAAATTGCCTCCAGAAGCTGGACTGATTTTTTTCTTCTACCTGTTAACAAAGTATGGCATTCTTACATGCGATTGCTAGTGCGTAAGTCAATTCGTATAATATCAAACGAGTAAATGTAGAGTATTTAATGGCTATGTGCTACGTTAAGATTTCTCTTTCTTCGTAAATTTTCATGATGGTAATTCCATTTATTCTCATCACGTATTCAAATAAATCTAATTATCCCAGTCTGCGTCTGTGGATATGCATGCTTTGAAACTTGGAATTTTAGTAAAATAAATTTTAGGTGTTTGCTATCAATTTTTCAAAAAAAAAAAATATATATATATATATATATATCGTGTAAACTTTTTGAAAGACGCAATGATGAGAATATTTAAATGTTTAATTGTTATTTCCGGTCATTTTGTGTGTTTCCCTCTTATGACTAGTTAAGCATGGTGATGTTTACATGACCATGGTGAGGTTAATGGATTTCATTAATGTTGCAATGCAGTATTGAATATGTCTGCAATGTTCTGTCGTTAAGTTTTGAGTTTAGTTCATTTAGATTTATTTCTGGAGCTTATAACACTGAGGGACGTTAGGCTAGTTTATATTAAAAAGAAAATCTCTACCTGTTACGTTTTTGTTGGACAACCTGGATTTCAAACTCTGAATGCTTGTCACAAAAGATCACGAAAACTGAACCAGCATCATATCTGATTTAGAATCCTAACATAAGGAATCACGTTTCTTCTTCTTCAACAAATTTTGAAAATATAGACAATTTTGCAGGTAGAACATGACATTTAATTGATGTGCTTGATGCCCTGAGAAGGTGTTGAGGTTCTGTAATAGAAGAAATGTAGATCCTGAAGTGAAATCAATATTTGCAATTTAGAATGTAGGAATATAAATTAATTGAAGGGATATGGTCCGTAACTTCATATTCATTCTGATAAAGTGTCTGGTCAGATTTGCTGTTTGTAGTCACTCATAAATCATAAAGTTCAAGCTGGTGAATGTTTTCTGGAAAGTGATATAGTTGGCATGGGCAAGTTGTGTGCCTTCACAATTAAGCTATCTGGAAACTGTATGACTAGACTCTGAGCATCAGCACAGGCTGTGAATGGACAGCTGAGTTTGAGATCATTTTCAAGGAGCGCAGAATTCCAAATTTTTGTATGGTCTGATTTGTGTTTCCTCCCTTTTGTTTATCCATTCAGGCCCTTACTTCTACGGCTGTGAAGAAAGGAGGACTCTCCACTGGGGATGTAGCAGCACAGTACAAGCATAAGAACAATACTATTGATGTCAAAGTTGACACCGAATCAAACGTGGGTTGCGCTGTTTTTTAGGCTGTAATAGCGTGTATTTTGCTTTGGTAAATCATTTCATTTGCTTTTGGCAGATCTCTACAATGCTTACATTCACTGACATTGTTCCAGCCACAAAAACCATCGCGTCGTTTAAGCTGCCTGATTATAATTCTGGCAAGGTACAGAAGTTTGTATTACTAGCTGGGAAATTTGCGCACACATTTGTTCTGAAAAATATGTTCACCTTGCCTTTGGCAGTTGGAGGTTCAATACTTCCATGACCATGCTACTGTAACAACAGCCATTGCATTGAAACAATCGCCTATTATTGATGTTTCTGCCACCATTGGTACTCCAACCATTGTGTTTGGCGCTGAGGCAGGCTATGATACCGCATCTGGTGCTTTTAACAAGTACACTGCTGGGATTGGTGTGACCAAACCCGATTCATATGCTTCAATAATTCTGTAAGTTTTTGGCATCTGGCATCATGATAATGGTTCCAAATATTTAGTAATTTGCAATCATTTTGAGAAACGTTTAAATTGTTTCAGTGGCGACAAGGGAGACAGCATTAGAGCTTCATATGTGCATCATCTAGACCAATCTAAGAAAAGTGCTGCTGTAGGAGAGATCAGTAGAAGGTTTTCCACGAATGAGAACACTTTTACGGTTGGAGGGTCATTTGCTGTTGACCATCTGACACAGGTCAAAGCAAGGCTCAACAATCATGGGAAGCTTGGGGCTCTCTTCCAGCACGAGGTCATACCAAAGTCAGTGCTAACCATTTCTGGCGAGGTTGACACAAAGGCCTTGGATAAAAATCCCAAGCTTGGGTTGGCAATTGCTCTCAAGCCTTGAAGCTTTTCTACTTTTAAAATTGCATTATCGGAATTTGGAACTTAATTCAATTTTTTTGGGTGGCCCAAAATGGCGGGGCAGAATAAGTAGTTTCACAGATTTCTAGGTTCGTGACTGTGAACTAAATGTTCAGGTATCCCGGTCATCAGCTACAATCTCTTCTCTTCCCCAACATTTTTTGTCTTAATTTTCGGACGTTACCCCTTCCTTACATGCTGTAGTCTTTCTGGGATGTGGTAGTTCACTAGCACGGACTTTCAGGCATCGTGTGCATTTGTCAAATTGTAATCTTGTGCTTGTTCGTCGCGTGTTTCTGTGAAATTCTAGCGTCGTGGCTGCATTTCTTTCATTTTGGTCTTGGGCTTATAGCAGATAGCAAAATCAAGGTCCAGTTATTCTATCTCGTTCTCGCGTCGTGGAAGAGATGGAAACACGAACAGACTGGTTGTTAGACCCTGCCCGGAAAGAAAAAAAACAAATTTGCCAGATGGCAATAGGATACAAAAACAGATAATTAATGAAACATGGAATTTTAATGTCAAGAATGCAATTACAATGGTGAATCTATGACGAATTTTTATGAGAAATTTTGATAATTCAAACAACCCAGAGGTTTAACGAGTATTAACTTTATTTCATAGCGGCACTCAATTAATCAGCATCAATTTATCGATATATAATAAAATTCGTAAATTGTTTTATTCGTAATATAAATGATATGCTCGTTTTTCAAATTTTATGCAATGACACTTGAAAAAGAAATGCATTTCTATTTAACACCAAATTAACACCACATAATTAGTTTATTTATTTATTTATTTATTTTTCTTTGTCCTCTAGTCAGAAAAATTAAAATTTGTTAAAAATAAAATTAAATAATAATTAAAACAGAATAAAAACATAAAAATAAAAATAAAAATAAAAATTAATATATATATATATATTAAATTACATATGTTATCAAAATAAATACATTATTTAAACATATGACTATTATAATAATTTAAAACATATAAAATATTATTTAAATAAAAAGATTCAAATCCACTGAAATTAAAAGTGGTGAATGTGGATGAAGTTTTCTTTATTTAGTATTTTTAATTATTTTATAATTTTTTATAAAATATAAAATCTTTTTTTTTAAATAAAAAACTTCAAATAAATTCATAAATAAAAAATTTAGAGGATTTAAATCCTAAATAGAATTATAAAAAAAATAGTCACGGAAGGCGACTGTGACTGACATCAGCAGGCACAGATTACTTCCCACGAAAAAAAAAATAATAATAACTTAGAAAAGGAAGAAAAGGCAAGAAGGATATTTAATGATTACAAAGAAAACCCAAGAAGCTAATAGAGGTCAATTCGCTTACAGTTCACATTCAACCGCTGGCAGTAGGTTTGGTGAATACATTGATTAATGATTGAAATTGATAAATTAAATTTTTAACAATTACTTTCCTGGTAACGTCAGTATGTAGAACGGTAGCAGCGGGCTCCAAAGGCTTACTTTTCAAAGCCGAAAACAAAATGCTCACAATTTATGTCTGGTCAAAGTAAAACCTTCAAGAACATGTTTCAACCAGCAGAATAGATTCACCTTACCAGACGACGTTTTTGAAGATCACACGCTGGTTGACATTCACGGGCGGCCTCTCTGTATATATTGCTCAATGCATACAGGTCGATTTGTATCAAAATTGAAAGGATGATCATGGAAGATAACTTGATCTGTTACTTTGCTCTCTGCCTTCTTATTCCGATCACTTTGAAGCTCTTGTTCCAAACAAGATCAGGATTGAAAAAGCTCCCTCCAAGTCCGCCTTCTCTTCCTATACTGGGCAACCTTTTGCAACTGAAACAACCTCTCCATAGCCACCTTCATTCCCTCTCTCAAAAATATGGCCCCATCTTCTCTCTCCGTCTCGGCTCTCATTTTGCTGTCGTCGTTTCATCTCCCTCCGCTGTTGAGGAGTGTTTCACCAAAAACGATATCATCCTTGCCAACCGCTTTCGCAACAGCAAGACCGAGTACATCAGTTACAACAACACCGTGCTCATCACATCTTCCTACGGGGACCATTGGCGCAACTTACGTCGTATATGCTCCCTCGAGATCCTCTCAACACACCGTATCAACTCATTCTCCAATCTCCGAGTCGACGAGGCCAAGCTGTTGCTTCGCAAGCTGTCTCGCCAGTCTCGCAAAGACTTCGCGAAGGTGGAGTTGAGGTCAATGTTTTCAGATCTGACCTTTAACAACATAATGAGAATGGTTGCCGGAAAACGGTATTTCGGCGACGAATCTGATTTAACCAACATGGAGGAAGCGAAGCGGTTTAGAGATGTCATGGACGAGATCTCATCTTTCAGTTTGGGATCCAAGGAGTCAAACCTTGGGGATTTTTTGCCTCTGTTCCAGTGGATTGACTTCAATGGTTACCGGAAGAGATTGCGAAGTGTTGGGAAGAAGATGGATGAGCTGTGGCAAGGGCTGATCGACGAGCATCGATATAAGAAGGAAGGATTGGAAAGCACTAATACTTTGATAGATCATTTACTCGCATCCCAAGAATCACAACCCGAGTATTACACTGATGAAATTATCAAAGGCCTTATTATGGTTAGTTTTCCAACGTCTGCCGTGCGTGTCATTAAACTTGCATGTATGACAAGAGTTGGTTCTCTCCATTTCTTTTCTTTTATTTTTTTTTTCATTTTTTCATCTCCACAATTCATTAATTTTATTATTTAAAAAATTATTTAATAAAATAATTTAAATAGTAAAAATTAGGAAAATGAAGGGAAAAAATGGAAAGATCCTCTTCCTGTATGATAGCTAATTAGCTATACGTGAAACACTTGTTTTGCAGGCGTTGATAATAGCAGGAACAGAAACTTCAGCGATCACATTAGAGTGGGCAATATCACATCTGTTGAACCATCCAGAGGTATTAGAAAAGGCAAGGATTGAGTTGGAAGCTGAGGTTGGAGAAGAGCGCCTTGTAGAAGAAGCAGACGTGGCCAGACTGCCATATCTTAAGTGCGTCATCTCTGAGACTCTGCGGCTGAGCCCGGCGGCCCCAATGCTCCTACCCCATGTGGCTTCAGACGATTGCTCCGTAGGGGGTTATGATGTGCCACGTGGCACAATGTTGCTTGTAAATGCGTGGGCTATCCACAGGGACCCTAATCTATGGACTGATCCAATGAGCTTTAGGCCCGAGAGGTTTGAAAATGAGGAAGCAGACGCCCGTAAGCTGATAGCCTTTGGAATGGGGAGAAGGGCCTGTCCAGGAGCAGGCTTGGCCCAACGAACAGTAGGGTTGACTTTGGCAGCATTAATACAATGTTTTGATTGGAAAAGGGTCGGAGACGAATATGTTGACATGACTGAAAGGGCGGGATCGTTGATGTTCAAGGCCATTCCGCTGGAGGCTCAATGCAAGGCACGTCCCATACTCAGCAAGATTCCATTATAAGCCTATAACCGTAGACAATACTCTGATCGTGCTGTTATTTTAAGGCTTCAAGTCAAAGTCCAGCATATTGGCTTCGGAGCCCGAACTTGCTTTATGATTTGTTCTCTGGTTTTATGGGTTCCTCTTTGATTTGACAATTTACCTCATGCAACTGGCAATGCCCTGCTTGTAATGCTCTTTTTTTCTTAAAAAAAAAAAATCAACATATATATATTTTAAAAAAAAAAGGCATAACGCTCAAATTACATCAACTCCGACCAACACTTTTCCCAGCTTATACATGGAAGCAATCCAACGCCCAGCTACTAATACGTGGGGCAGATCATTCTGTGCCTCAGGGACCAGACACTTGTTCCACGAATGCTGGAAGAATCCGATACTCTACGATCTGCAGGAACGTCACTTGCAAACTTTTGTTGAGTTTATGTTCAGTATCAACACCCTGCCCGATTTAATTCTCTACTCAAACCTAGCACGACAACTAACATGTAGCTGCTGCACAAGAAGCAGATCCTCTGCTACATCCCTTCCTTAAAGTCTCCATTTATCATATTTAATCAAAGGTTTGAATAATGAATATCCACAACACGGCATAACAAGCAAGGACCATCATTTCACAAGATCAAAGTTGGCGTAAGTTACCGGAATTGGCCTCCAATTGGCAACATACAATAGACAACACACATAATTCCTTACCTAAAAGTAAAAGGGCGCAGCTTATGCAACTCATGGCTATGATTATGACACATACTCTCCAATGAATTAAGTTTGGGAGAGGCAAAAGATGCACGATGGATTCAATCACACCCGTTCAATATATCAACTTTTAACACATTTTAATTGGCGCCAACATGATACACATTACAAGAACAGGAACATATACTCAACGAGACACATTGAGGTCTAAATCTACCAAAGAAACGCATTCAAACAACGCAAATATGATTATAAGACCAACTAATTGAATCGTAAATCCGTAAAAATGAACATAAAACTAAGGAGTACTAGATTGAAATACAAAACCACCCAATATTGATAACAGTTGACCCAATCGAATGTCACTGGTATTGCGCTCGATTTTACAAATGGATACCAGATGGATTTAATAATCATTAAATAGAGCACAAGGTCAAGACAGGAAATTAATTACTCACTTAGTACCTCTCTATGCCCTAAGGAATGAAACCTCCACCATCTACATTGGAGGTAAAATGTAAAATTTTCCACATTAAAACATAACTACCTGTGGTTAGAATATCATAGGATAAGCCAATTACTATGATTCTGCATTATAACGTGCGAAACTTAACTGCAGAGGTATGTTGATCAAAATAGGACGAGTCAAACGAATAACCAGGTACACGAGATTTTCAGGAGTAATATCAATCAAAACATTTCTTTAAAGCATGAAAAATCAAGTCCTCCAAATACTCGAATTGTTCGAAATGAAAATCACAAGGCCCGCGATGACAAATTATCCCGTTTTCACTTAGTAAAAAGAGCAAAACAACCTAATACATAAAATAGCAAAACAGATCTAAAAGAAGTTGTTTTGATCGACTAATCAACATTTTGCATAATGTCCTCGGCAGTAAACTTGGTACCCTTGACCTTGTCGGCGGCCGCCCGTCCCTTGGCTTTGCGATCAAGCAAAGACTTGCGGTCCTTGTCCAACCTCAGCTTCGTGATGACAACTTTCGAAGGGTTAATCCCAACATTCACGGTTGAACCATTTACCTTCTCGCGAGTAATCCGCTCAATGTGAATGACCCATTTGCGGCGGTAGACCTGAACCACTTTGCCCTCACGTCCCTTGTAGGTGCCTCGAACAACTTGAACCTCATCGTCCTTGCGAACCGGCATGGACCGGACGTTGTATTTGGAGCGAAGGTCATTCGAGAGAGGCGCACTCATCAGAATACGGCGAACGCTGGACGGCGCCGTGAAGTGTGCCTTGCGATTCTTGCGACGAGAGCTGGAGACCCGAGGATTGTACTTCATGTTCGCTCTCGATGAAGGGTCTCTACCTGCGGCTTCCTTCTGGCCTCTGCTAGGTTCAGCAGCGCATGTCTTTTAGGGTTTGTGAATTTATACCGATGGCCACAGTGAGCGTTTCGCCTCTTGAGCTAAGTTCGTGTATTTGCCTTTTGAGCTTGGATCGGGTTTTGGTATACTCAACAAAGCACAGCCCAATACATGGCATGGGCTATGCAGGCCTAGCTTGACTAGGCCACATGTTTATGCCCAGTCCATCCCAGAAATAAATATAGTACTGTGTGTCTACCCAAAAAAATGTAGTACCGTGTCTGATTGCTTCATATCATCATAAGGCAGCTTATCATCTTTTCACATTTTATACCTACAATTTATCCAATATCCGATAGGTTAGTTTTTTTATACAGTTAATTTAGATTTTCTCAATTCATTCAGTATCTGATATATATTTTTTATGAGAGCCAATTTCTTAAAAATGATATTATTTTTATATGATTATTTAATTAAATTAAATTCAAGCAATGTTGAGAATTCAAACAACCTCAAATTCAATATATGTGCATGTATATATGCACATATAGCGTGAAAGTTTGAATTTGATTTGAGATTATTCATATATTTTGAGTTTTAATTGCATGTCAAAGTAAAAATTTATGACCACATGATGTTATAAAATTAAAATTAGCAAGGATTGTAAAACTTAAAAGAAAAAAGTTGTATATTTTCACAAAAATCTTTTTAAACATTTTAAAAAAATAAAAAAAATGGACAGTTTGTAAGTTTTAAATGAATCTAAAATGAACCATAATCCATCTCTTACTAAATCTAAATTTTTGTATTTTATATTGATGATCTTATTAAAATAAACAAATAAGATGGCAAAAAAAGTAAAATAAACAACTAAATGTGTGGGGAAAAAAAAAGGAGATTGGAAACTTGAAAGAAAATGGGAATTGCTGCGTCAGCCGCCGCACAAGCACGGCGGTGATAGGCGAGTAGGTGTAAATTGTAATTTCTGAGGCGGCTGCGAGTGCCCAGGCCTGAAGAAATATCCAACTGCCTCGCTCTGAAGGTCACATAAACAACGAAGAGAAACCGAATTCGCTAGATTTATCTTTACTTGTTCTTCTGCAATGCGCGAAGCGATTCTACCGGAGCAGTGATTCAAACCCTATTCTTCTAAAGCTATCCCGGAGGCGGCACGATGGGGAAGAAGCAGCATAGCAAAGATCGGATGTTTATCACTAAAACAGAGTGGGCGACGGAATGGGGAGGGGCCAAATCCAAGGAAAATCGTACCCCATTCAAACGACTTCCTTTCTATTGCTGCGCGTACGCACTGTATTCACATTCCAATATTCAAAATTAGCTGTCACCCTCTGATGTTATCATTGAGTTCGAAATTTATAATGTGTACTCTTTTGGGTTCAGGCTTACATTTACACCGTTCGAGTATCCGGTATGCACAGCTGATGGAAGCGTTTTTGATGTTATGTGGGTATCTGTGATTTCCATGATGTCACAATTTTGAGTTTTCCCTGGTGATTTATGTTCAAATGCTATTTGATTTTTTTTTTTTATTCAGTTAGTTGTGGTTTCACAATTTGGCTGCAGGAATATAACCCCGTATATTATCAAGTATGGAAAGCATCCTGTCAGTGGAGCTCCGCTTAATCAGGACGACCTCATTCCACTAACTTTCCACAAGAATTCAGATGGTAATTACTGATTATTATCACACTAGTTTTGGACTTTAATCCACTTTTCTTCTTCTCTAACGAGCATTTATCTCCGTTGCATGGTTTTGAATTGTTTATCTGGAATATCTGTGATGTTGTTGGTAACTATATCAGAAATCTTGGTGGTTATTATGTCAAGGTTGGATAACTAAGTTTTTAAGTTCATATGTTGTTTTTTTTTACAAGTTAACACCTACGGGATAATGGTCTGGTAAATAGAACGTATTGAAAGCTTTAAACTGTCGAAATCTCTACTGAGACTGAAAGAACAAAATATTTGCATGTAGAGTATTCATGGCTGTTTGAAACTGTTTTGAGAACTAGTGTTTTGTAAAACATATTTTGAGAACAAAAAAATAATAAAAATAGGTGTTTTTTTCATTATCTTTTGTTCTCCAGAACAATAATCACAGAACACTTAAAAGTTGTTTCTATTTTTCTGTTCTTCAGAAGAATTTTTTATTTTTTGTTCTCCAAAATACTTTTTAAAAATATGTTACTAAACAGATTTTTTTGTTCTCTTGTTCTAGAGAACAGTTTAACAGGCCCCCTCTCCGGAAAACTGTGCCATCGTTATTCTTTTATGTTTCAAGATTTTTCCCTCCATCCCAGCCCTTGGGGTTGAAGGGTGGGGACGGAGGGCTGGTATGGCTTTCCTAAAACTGTATCCTCTAACCTTTCTCCTTTATTTTGTAGGGGAATATCAGTGCCCTGTGCTGAACAAAGTTTTCACTGAATTCACACATATTGTAGCTGTAAAGACCACAGGAAACGTTTTCTGCTATGAGGTTTGTGTTATTTGGGATTTGTAGTGTTAACTATACCAATTTTGTCTCTATGGTATATTCATGTAATGTGTGAATTCTTGAAAATAGGCCATCAAAGAATTAAACATCAAGACGAAAAACTGGAAGGAGCTCTTGACTGATGAGCCATTCACTAAGGATGACCTCATAACTATTCAGGCAAGTGTCACCTTTGATTGAAAATGGAAATGTTTTATCTATTTTTGTTCGGTTGGCATTAATATCATGCTGATATGTATGTGTATACTCTATGCAGAATCCCAACGCACTTGACAGCAAGGTTCTTCTGGATTTTGACCATGTTAAAAACAATTTAAAAGTTGATGATGAAGGCATGCAATGTCTTGCAGCTCCATCTTTTGTCAGCTATAATTCTGTTCTTTTATTTATTTATTTAGTTATCTTTATGTTGATGATATTGTTGATTCTATTCTTGCTTGTAGTGGCTATGATATCATTGGTCTTTCTTTTTCTCAGAACTAAATAGAATGGGTTCAGATCCAACCTATAATATAAATGTGTCTGGAGATATCAAACAAATGCTTCAGGAGCTTGGAACTGAGAGAGCAAAGGAAACTGCATTGCATGGGGGAGGTGGGAGCAAGGCACAAAAAGAAAGGGCTGCTGCACTTACTGCCATATTAGATGCAAGGTCACGTTTGAAGGAGGATTCCAAGTCAAATGGAGATGCTAAAGCACCTCAGGGATTTAGTATAGTAGACGCTGCTTCTGCTTCAGTGCATGGAAGAAGTGCAGCTGCTGCTAAAGCCTCATCAAGTGATAAAACTGCTGCTAGGATAGCTATGCACTTGGCTGGTGAGAGGGCTCCATTAAATGGGAAGCTGGTGAGTTTCACAGATTTGATCTTGCTTGGATTAGTATAATATGTAATTCAGGCTTTTGTGCATTAAGTGATTGATTTGAATTCTTTTGCATACAATATGAAGGGAGTTCCATTGACCACTTCTCTTTTCTTCCTTTTTCATTTTAGTAGCTTTTTCATTCATGTCAATTGAATTCCATATCTATGTTTTCTGGTGACATGGATGCATTCATCAACTTCACAATTTTAATAAAAGTTCTTCATTTCAGGTAAAAAGCCGATTCACAACTGGTGCTGCTTCAAGATCCTTTACTTCGACATCTTTTGACCCAGTTACAAAAAATGAATATGAATATGTAAAAGTGGAGAAAAATCCGAAAAAGAAAGGATATGTACAATTGCATACAACTCATGGAGATTTGAACATTGAGCTGCACTGTGATATAGCACCCAGGACGTGTGAAAACTTTATCACACTTTGTGAGCGTGGTTATTATAATGGGGTTGCATTTCATAGGAATATACGGTATGATGACCTTTTTTCTTTCAACTTAATCCTTGTTCTCCCTCCCTCCCTTTAGATAATCTTGATTCACATTTGTAGACCTTAAATGCATATTTCATGCAGGAATTTTATGATACAAGGTGGCGATCCTACTGGGACTGGGAGAGGAGGTGAATCAATATGGGGAAAACCATTTAAAGATGAAGTTAACTCCAAATTACTTCATTCTGGGAGGGGTGTTGTTAGCATGGCAAATAGTGGTCCACACACCAATGGCTCCCAGTTTTTTGTCCTCTACAAATCTGCAAATCATTTAAACTATAAACACACAGTTTTTGGCGGAGTGGTTGGTGGCTTGACAACATTGGCAGCCATGGAAAAGGTTCCTGTTGATGACAATGACCAACCTCTGGTAAGTCAACATTATATTCATTTTCACTCTTATGTAGGTGTCGATAGACTTTTCCTGCTTATCTTGTTTGGTTTCTCTGAACTGCATCAAGTTTCAAATTGAGTGATGAAAAGTATACCATCACACAATGTGGCTCTGCTTTATAAAAAGAATCTTCTGCTGTACAAATTTTCTTTTTCTTTTTGGTTGTATCCTTGAAAATTTTATTTGGAGTACTGCATGTCATGTGTAACTAGAGTGTTTGCAGAAGCTTAGGCTTCCATTTTCAAGGTTGAGAATTAGGCTATATTGAGCACTTTTTTGTGTCTCGCTGTGCAACAAGAGCTTGCTGTCTGTTGAATGGTGGCAAGGTTTTCCTGATTTGGAGAGTTCATATATTTATTCATGCTGAGACAATTGGGAGCTTCTAAAAAATTCCATAAACTGTGCTACGTCTTACAGTTGGTTATGTTCTATTTATCTTTTGTCTTGTAGGAGGAAATCAAGATAACAAATGTCACAGTTTTTGTCAATCCCTACACAGAACCGGATGAGGAAGACCAGGAGAAGGCTGATGTGAAGAATGCGGAGGATGAAGATAATGTTTGTTTTATACTCTCTAGTGCATTTCTTACTGGTTATTTTTACTCCTGCGGTTTTTTATTTATTATTTTTGCTCCATTCTTTCGGTTTACTGTTCAGGATAAGGTTGGAACATGGTATAGTAATCCTGGTGCGGGAACATCTGAATCTGGAGGCGTGGGTGGTGGTGGTGGTGGTGGTGTTGGCAAGTACTTGAAAGCCAGGAATGCTCAAGATTCTGCTACTGTTGACAATAGCACATCAGTTGCAGGGAAGAAAAGAAAAGTGGGGGTTGCCAGCGGTGAATTTAAAGACTTTTCAGCATGGTAGGATTCCCAACCTTGTACCACTACAAGATGTTAAACATTATTGTAGGTTTCTTGTAGCATTTATTTGAAGAGGAAAGACACGAACTGTGGCAGCATTCCTGCACTCGGTTGTGTTCCGAAAGCATGTGTACAGTAAGTGTGTTCAGTGAGAGTATATTGGTTACAACTTGCAAAAACAAGCATTTTGCCCCTCGAGCGCCTTCTCTCATCTGAACTAGAAATGACAAGTTTCAATCATGTTCTGTCGCTGCTACGTCGGAAGTATATAACGTGCTTCTCTGTATAATTGGTTTGTCCTAACAGACGGTAATATAATTTTAATGGGGCATCGAGAGCTTCTTTAGCAGCTGCCTGATCTTCCCTTTCTGAGGGCGTTACCAATCCAATCGATCTGGCTATGACATAGGTCAGAGGAGAAGTTGGCTCTTCTATTTTGGCTGAATTGTCTGGCAGGAATGCTGGATTCAGCAATAGTTGTCTTTGACTACGAGCTTCTTAAACGGATTTGGTTTATTTGTGTTTGGGTAAATGCTTCACTCTTTTTCTATTTAACTTTGATTTTTGTTTCTGGCAACAAGTATAAGGAAAAAAGAAAATCAGAGGCTAAAGAGCAAAGAAATTGGATAACTCATGCAAAAATTATCATCTTGGGGATATTACAAAAAAGCTGTTGGGGAGTGCGGCAAGTGATGAGATCCAGGATCCAGCGTAATGGTAATATTTGGCATGCGAGTCGGCAAGGCAATTGCCTTATCGGCAAACATGGTTAGTGTCAACCTGCCAAGCTCGAGAACTAATGTTCTTGAATTTCATGAACCAGTCGTGAATTTAATCTATTATACTAAATTTTTTTTTAAAAAAAGGAATTCCATGTAGATCAAAACATCGCTTGCACTTTGATATCAAGTTTGATGGGGGCGGTTAATGAAATCTTGACGTTCAAATTCATGAATCCATGAAGTAAACTCGATGGCATAAAAATATGGATAGAAATAATTTATTTAGTATATTGGAATATGAATATTGATTTGGCGATAGTCGAATTAGGCATCGGAGCGAGGGATAGAGAGTTCAGAGTAACGAATATTAACTTATAAGGGTGCTTTTGCAATGATTCTACGGATTATATGGAGAAAGAGACAAAGGAGGAAGGAGGAAGGTAAGGGGAATACTGGTCAGGGTAGCTTCCTAATTCTTGCCCCTTTTCTGCAACACTCAGCTTCAGATTGGACGAGTTCAGGGAATTAGATTCCTTGTCGACTTTTATGATGATCTCAAAGATGGAGTATCAGATTGGACTGGTTTTATTCAAAACAAACCAAGCACACGCGTGATGTACCCTATTTGATGTTTCTTTGTAGAAAAATTAATCTTTTAATTTTTTAATTTTTAATTAACTTGTAACTCAATCTCCTTAATTATGATTCATCTACAACTCAATCCCTCAACTTTTGACTCACTTATAATTTACTCCCTCAATTTTTATTAATTGTTTTTTTTTATGTTAGCTTAAATTTCACATTAAAGAGCAAGAGAAGGGTATTTTAAACCAATATATGAGCATTTTTTTTATCCTTTTTATTTTATAAGGAAATTTTTTTAAAAAAAATTAAAAAATAAAGACCGAATTATAAGTGACTCAAAAATTGACAGATTAAGTCACAACGAATTATAGAAGAGGCATTGAGTCGCAGCGACTCATAATTGAAGGATTGAGTTACAAGTAAGTTAAAAATTGAAAGGTTAAAAGATTAATTTTCTCCTTTTTTAACAAAATAACAATAATAATAATTAACAAAACCAGATAAATAAATAAAAGTGCCGACTCTGGCGTGTCGTAGGCGCAGCTTTACAGAGAGAAACATGGTCGTTTCCGTAGTTGCTTAAAGGGAGACATTCATCAGATGATGAAATAGCCATCTATTCTTTTAATTTCGTAAAATCTTTTGAAATGAAGGGGGGATTAATAATGATGATGGTTGCTGAAACTAAACTCTCAAGACGTGGTCTATCTTTGCCATGCTCCAAGCTCCAGAGGGAACATAATTTAGAATTGAGGGCGGTGACGTTTCAACTATATCCCTTCTTATGGCTTTCTATATAAAATAAAGTACGGGGCTCGCCTGATTGAAGAAAAAGGGAATATAATAAAAATCATAGATATCAAGCCGTGAACGTCCATGTCTCATTTGCTTTCATTATTTAATTAACATCAGAGAAAAGGGTATTCAAATCATCAACCATATGAGCATGGATATTTTCTCAGGCTTCATTCAAACCTGCAGCCAGCCTTTCCGGAATATATAATGAACTCGTGTCATTTTGTTCGAGATTTGATCGCTAAGGAGAATGAAAGGCATACCTCAAAACACAGGACAAGAGGGTCAAATGATTGAATTGTTCCTATAGCTGATGCTGTGTGAAGAGAAATAAAAATCTTGAAGGCTTCCAAGCATGTGATCTCAAGCAATATATAAAATGGTACTGGGAAAAAAAAAGAAAGTAGCAGACAGGGGAATACGGAAAGCCCCTCGGAGCAAACAATAATGGATATATTTAACAAATTGCAAGTTGCGACAAGGCAAGACACTACTACTGCGAGGGCACGTAGACTTATGAAAAATGAAGCAGTGTCATGGGGAGTAGGGAGCAGTAGGGAAAATGACCCCAAAACAGAATTAGACCAAGACATGGTAGGGAATGAAGGGCGAAGGCATGCCCTGGCAGTTGGAGAAGTGTACGCATTGGTAATACAAGTGAATATTATTTTATTCTCTCTCTCTGTTTTTTTTTCCCCCTTGAGATGAGAATGAGTACGAAACGTTTGAGAGGTGGGTGATGGGTAGGCGCATTGGGCTTGATCATGATGATCATTACACGACGCTGCCTTTTACTCTCTCTCTCTCTCGAGACCCAATAAGCAATTTCGCACGCCAACTCCCACTCGCTCATTTTACTTGATTTTTATTTCTCTCACCCCAAAAATCTAAACGCTAATCCACTGACAAATATGGTTCTCTCTCTCCCTCTCTCTCTCCCCCCTTGCTTACTTTTTCTCCTACTTTCATTTTTTTCATCTTTTGTCAGGTGAGCATCACAATTCTACTAGGTCATGACAGAGAAACTCTTCATCCCATTCTCAGTCAATACCCCCTCCACAAACCCGTCCCCACTTTTCCACAAATACGAATATAGACCCAGTTAGCTTCTAACCCAAAATGGAGTCATTCTCCACCCAATTCCCAAGGTTAAAAACATCACTGTAGTTTATTGATGTGGGTCCGTTTGTTGTGGATTAGATGATGGATACCTTGTTTAGGGTACTCAATTTTCAACATCAACCTCAGCCCGATCACTCCCTCAACTCCACCACCAGCCTCACTACTTCTGGCAGCTCTAAATCTTCCATGCACAATTGCTTCCCCCCGCCACAGCACCAAGAAGAATGCTTCAACCTTTTCATGGATGAAGAAGACTTATCTTCGTCTTCTTCTAAGCACTGCTATCCCTGTCATCTCCATCCTTCCCCCGCTACCGCGGCCGATTTTTCCTTCTCACCCACCAGTGACTTCAACTCGGAATTCTCCGGCAACGCCAGGTGGGTTTCCGATATCCTCATCGAGACAGCTCGTGCCTTTGCCGACAAGAACAGCCCCCGTATCCAGCAACTCATGTGGATGCTTAACGAACTCGCCTCCCCTTATGGCGACGCTCATCAGAAACTCGCCTCTTATTTCCTCCAAGCCTTGTTCGCTCGCATGACCGACTCTGGCCTCCGTACCTACCGTATCTGGACCTCCGCGTCTGACAAGAACTGCTCCTTTGAATCCACCAGGAAGACCGTCTTGAAGTTCCAGTAGGTCAGCCCTTGGACTGCCTTCGGTCATGTAGCTTCCAATGGCGCCATCTTGGAAGCCCTCGAAGCCGAGCCTAGATTACACATACTCGATTTCAGCAATACTTATTGCACCCAGTGGCCTACTCTTTTAGAATCTTTGGCCACTCGCACTGACGATGCGCCGCACCTCCGCTTAACCACCGTCATCACCAGCAGACCAGGAGGTTTCGTTGCAGCAGTTCAAAAAGTCATGAAGGAAATAGGTGCTAGGATGGAGAAATTCGCTCGTCTCATGGGTGTGCCATTCAAATTCCACGTCATCCATCACACCGGTGATCTTTCAGAGTTGAACTTCGCGGAATTAGATATTATAGACGACGAGGCTTTGGCTATAAACTGTGTGAACGCTTTGCATTCGGTCACGGTCATTGGTAATGGTAATCATCGTGACGCGTTGATATCCTCGTTTCGGAGATTACAGCCTAGAATAGTTACAATAGTGGAAGAAGAAGCTGATCTTGATGTTGGTTATGATGGTTTTGAGTTTGTGAACGGGTTTGAGGAATGCTTGAGGTGGTTTAGAGTTTATTTTGAGGCGTTGGAGGAGTGCTTCCCGAAGACGAGCAACGAAAGGCTCGTGCTTGAGAGAGGGGCGGGACGAGCGATGGTTGACTTGGTGGCCTGTGATCCGTCAGAGTCGGTGGAGCGGCGGGAAAGGGCGGGACGATGGTCACAGCGGATGCATGGGGGTGGGTTCAATGCGGTGTCGTTCAGCGACGAGGTTTGTGACGATGTGAGGGCGCTGCTGAGAAGGTACAAGGAGGGGTGGTCAATGACACAGTGCTCCCACGCCGGAATATTCTTGTCGTGGAAGGATCAGCCGGTGGTGTGGGCCAGTGCATGGAGACCTTGACGACATGATGCGTGGAGCGTGATGTATTCGCACGTGTTCTCGGTTTTTCTGGCACGTGCATGGGGGCGCTAAATAAAGAGTTCTGCAATGTGCTTTTCCCCTCCCCCCACCCCCTTTTTTTTTAACTTGTTAGTTTAGGAATCCATAGGGATAAAGGAGGATTTGGGAGAGGAACATGCTTGTGTTAAAATTGGAAAAGGAACGAAGGACACTGGTTTTCGTTAGACTGGTTAAATTTTTGGGTTTTTTGGATCATTATGGCTTGAATGTGTGCCGTGAAGTTATTCTATTGATCAATTCATTTCTTGTTATTATTTTATTACTGAGCCATGCCATATATAGTTGAATAAATCTGATCTTATGGGTTCATCCACATTGAGTAGTAACTATGTAACTGATGGTTACTTTCTCTTTTGCCAAATAATTACTGCACTGGAGTTCTCTCTCTCTCTCTTTTCCTGATTGTTTTGGAATTTTCGTTTTACTAACATTTTAATTCTTATTGATAAAAATAACGGTGGTTGGATATAAGAACGTTTTAATCAAACAGTATTTGATTTTATTAGAAGTTAACCCATATTTAATACTAAACTTTTTAAATCTTTATGCATAACCTTCAATCATTTTAAAAGTGAAGTAGCTTAGTTTAAGAAGTCTAGTCTCCTTGTTTGCAAATTGATTATAACTAAAATATAATATTTTTTTCATGCTGGTACAAATTTGACCTGAGATGAGTTGCACGATAAATAACAAGTCGTTGGGGGAAATCATAATTAATCTGTCATCCTTGTATTTTTCATAATATTTAAGGTGTTTTTTAGTTGTTGGACTTGGCCTACCGTATTTGATCTTAATTTCTCTAGACAAATCACAAATGGATCCAAAAAGAAATTGGGTTTGGTATTTGGTGTGTAAGGATGATATCAGCTAAAAGAACATTAGGATTTAAATTACCAGGATGGAACTTGAGATTTTATCAGGTCGTTACATGAACTTCAATAAAACAAGGCTCATTATCTTGTTTTTGGACCATAGAATCTTAGGACGGCCACTGAGTTAAATGGATTTGGACTCTCTACATTTCTGTTCCCTCCATTTCCCTCATTTCTTCTATCTTCATCATTTATTAATTTTATTATTTAAAAAAATTATTTAATAAAATAATTTAAATGGTGTAAATTGAAGAAATGAAAAAAAAATAAGAAAAAAAATGGAGAGGAGTTAAATGAGTCATGTTTGGGGAATCTTATGAAAAGGCGCAGTAGTCATAGTGGCTTAAGGTCTTTAGTGGCCTCCACGCTGTCTTGAAAATGGAATTCTATTTCTCTTTGATTTTTCTTGTTTTTCAATCGCTTCTACGGAGTCTGTCACACATATTTCAGCTTTTCGCTCTTTATGGTCCCACCAACCCTGAACTCTTTCTTTCATGGAAGTTTCATGATGGGAAACTTTTGCCTTGAAATCCAATATTTTTTTCCTATTAAAAGGAAAAAAAAAAAACCAATATCGTTTTTAAGTAAATAAACAACGAAAAGGCAATATTGTAAACAGTCGGTTCATCTTTTAAGGTTTACATTTCTTGAACTGCTCCACGTTTACATACCCACTCTTAATCCCTTTGAATGAATGAATATATATATATATATATTTTTTTTTTTTTCCTTTTTCCCTTCGGATTATAAAATAATTCTAGTTGCTTTCATTTAGTATTCTTTAAGGTGCTTTGATGGTGGCCCATGCCGCCTTCTGCAAGTTTAAGCTTTGGAATCCTTTTCTATTATGCTGATAACGACCAGCTGATCCCCTCGTTTTAACGGGACCAGGTTCAAGCAAAAAAGCTAGTTCTGGTGTATGAATACAAATAATAAAGAAAAAACCAGTCTGCTAACTTCAGTCTATTGCAGCAAGCAATAGATACGCAAACGCAAAATGATCGAAGAGACCCAGAACCATAAAAGAATGAAGCTGTCGACTCGTATGTCGTACGAGTAAATCTACTCTCCTCATTGTCTGAAGCTTCTCACTGCAGGACAATATATTCCTATGATCGTGAGAGAAGAATATGGGTTTAAGGACACAATTTTGGATAACTTATCCATTTGAGTTGTCCACAAAGCTGGATAGGTAGCTCCCTATTTCCTTCCCCACTTGACCGCCCAGAAGAGCACCAGAAATAGAATCATTGGTTTAAAGTGGGATTCCGAGTCAGCTACTTTTTGAGATTCTGGGAAGATTTACTTTTTGTATAGCACAAGACGACAAAAGTTTGAAAGTTTCAATGACCCACATAGCATTTTAAAAGGGGCATGTGGAGCAATTCCACTCTTCCAGATGGTGTAGCTCATAAAAATAAAGGAAAAAACGACATACCCACAAGAATGAATGAATCATTTATACGTATACACAAGACATCCTGATACAGCTGATAGACAATGCTGGCTTATTAGCAAAACTCCACCCAGCAGGCAACTCGATAAGAATCAATCTCAGACTAATACAGCCACCTTCCCAAAAGAAAACCGTCAGCGCTCTGCAGGTTCTTTCACCCTTAGGTTGCTATGTCCGAAGCAGGTGAATAGCAATAAAACTCAGCTGAGAGGTTCATCGAGACTTCATATACCATTACAAAATATACAAAGGAAAAAAAAAAAATTCTAAACCCACCCCAACCGAGACAGTCTCCATTTTCTATGCCAATAGATAGAAACTCTTGACCACAATGGGAATTCAAAGTTGAACTCTAGAGGCCGATCAGCAGGTCCTGCCACTATCAAGGGCAACCACACATATCTTGAGTCCCTTAAGTCAGCTGAATTCCATCGATCAGCCATGAAAATGAATGAACCTGAGAGCCCAGGCAGAGGAAAAACAAAAGTGCTCTGAGCAAAGAAGGTTGTTTGTTGAAACACTTTGTTTCCTCCAATGCATGGATTTCCCAATGTCTCCCAAGGCCCCAGGATTGACTCGGCTGCATGAGCCAGTGCCTCATTTGGGGCCCATCCAGTGCAGCCTGATGTAATCATGTAATATGTGCCGTGGTGCTTGAACAGGGCTGGCGCTTCCCTGTGTTGTCCCACAAGAATCCTTCTCATGACAGATGTCACATTGAGATAATCTTCAGTCAGGGGTCCTATGTGCAGTTCACTATTGTCCTCAGAGGAATATATCAGATACGCTACTCCATCATCATCCTTGAAAATCGTCATATCCCTGCTTTCACATCCATGCGGTCTTTGGCTACCAAGATAATCAAAAGGACCATCAGGAGTATCACTGATTGCTACTCCAACAGCTGCCTTGGTATAGTTGGCATCATCAATATGCATCCACATCACATATTTTCCAGTCTTCTCATTGTAAATCACTTTCGGCCTCTCAAGTACATTGGACTTGTGCAGATCATGGGTTTCATTTGTTTCCTGAGCTGCCAGGACGATTCCCTCATTTTTCCAAGCCCACAAATCCTTGGAGGAGTAGCAACCAACTCCTATGATGTCCACCTAATGGAGAAAGTGATGTAGATTAATCTGATATTTGCCACAAAGGTATGCAGCTTAGTAAATACAATATTGATTGAAAAATGTGTTCCCTTGACAGCCACAGAAAGATGAAGTTATAATAGCATGAACTGGAGTCATCGTATTAAAAGAATATCAGGACTATAACTAAAGTTTTAAAAATCGTCGTTTCATTTACAACAGTCATTGAAAGAGAAAAATTGATTTTATCAAGAAGAAGTTCACTTGAAAGACATGAATTAGAGGGAGCAAAAGGAGAAGCACAGATAAAATAATACTATTAGGGGAGTGTATTAAGTGAGAGTGGAGATCTTATATAAAAGGTGAGAAGAGGAGAAAAGATCACCCTTTCCCCTTAGACTAGAATGCAATAATCAAAACTAGTTAAGATTTTGTCATAAATGTGTTTCTTAATTTTCAAATGAATGGTTCTTACATCAATAATAACCATTGGTTTGTGATTTAAGGCTAATTACTTATACTTCTCACCTCTCACCTAGATAATTCATTTCCCTTGATAGAATTAGAACCCCATAATACTCGTGCTCTAGAATATCTTTCAAAGTTATACTTATACCAACTTCATGACATTGCATGCCAATTCAATTGCAAAACCATTTTAGCTCGTGTCAAAGAAAAGTTCCCCTGACCTCTGCAATCACCTAAAACCCTACTCACAGGGTGAGAGAACACACCACCAGATGGAAAGCCAACAACAATCTTTCCCTTTCATTGTTTTTTCATACAATGGCTTTTCCAGATTTTGTCCAACTTAAGTAAAAGCTTGAATGATTTAGAGAGTTTAGGAGACCAATTTTTCTAGGGATTATCAAAATGCCAGAAGTACTGTGATCTCTTGGATGTAAAAACTTCCCTTGAGTATTATTATAGGAAATCATAATAAGTGGACTTTGAGCTTTAAATCGGAGACAAGAAATTTTATGCACCACCAGTTGTTCAAGAAAGTCCCATATTCTTGGAAAAGTATCAAGTCATCAAGCCTTGAACTAAGTATATCAAGCAAAACCATTATATATATTAAATAGACAACACTTCACAAATCCTATTTGCCTCAAATAGAACTGTCAATTAGAGCTAGGCCGGCTGGCCCTAAGCCCGATTATACCTCAAGGTTACATTTTGCAAGGCTCGACCTTGGCCCTCAAGATTTTAGGGCCAGCCCTACAAGCCTCGGTCCTATTTTTTTTTTCAGTTTAAAAACCTAAAAAAGCATATTTATAATTCAAAAAAAGTTATTACACATAACATTAAGTTTAGAAAAATAAAACTAGGTTAATCTACACCACAACAAATATATAAAATTTAAATTTAAATATCCAAGTCTAATATTAAATAACAACATCAAAATTAACACTAATAAAAATTAGACTTTGTTAGCATCATTAACTAAATTTTGATAAATGAATGAGGGAGGGAGGAATGACTCTAGCGTTTTCATTTCTTGTAGTTAAATACTTAGTCTTAAATTTTTTTTAGATTGAAATTTGAAGAAAAAAATAATAAAAAGGCTTAAAAGGGCTTATCTTTTTATTTTCAAGCTTAAAAGGAATGACTCATTTAAGCCTGAATTACCATTTTCCATCCTAAAGTAGCGGCCTAGCCCTAATTATTTTAGGGTTTAAAAGGGCCGAGACAGCTTTGCTCAAAATAAAAGTGCATTTTTCCTTTTAAACCCCCCCTGGTGGTAATATAGTTGGAGGTAAAGCTGGTTCGTTTAAGAATTCTTAACTATATGCGAATTAGATCACTTATTATAGAAACAAAATAAGAGAAAAAGACACCAGCAACAGTGTTTATTGAGCATTAGTAGTTATATCACCTGGACCATTTTCTCTACCTTGTGCCAATATCTTTCCATAGATTGAAGAAACTGTCAAGCTTATATCTCTCAGTATGGTATTATTTGCATTTGCATCACGTTGGAATACTCTTACAATTACAATATCTCCTCTGTCACATTAACAGATCATAATATATCTGCTTTCGTAGACTGATGAGAATATGGTACTCTTATGCAGTTATGCTCATATTAACATTTGAAGAATTGAATAAAAAATTATTTAAAATACCATTTTTCTGCCAAATATTTGGAGTATCGATAATGATATAGGGAATGATCAATGGTCCTGAACTCAAGAAACTGGGTACTTCATTTGAAAGTTGAAACTGACATAAAGAGTAAGGCCCCTTAAACAACAATCTAACATGAATCAAATTCATATCCAAGTGAGCACCTGAGGAAAAGGAAAGATCCAGGAAGATATGAGATTCAAATGCACATCTTTAATCAAGTGTATTCCTTATTATCATTTAATATAGCATTGGCATAGCCTCTGCATCAACCATTAATGTAACTTACTAGGATAGAATAAAGACTAACTATACAAACTCCAATTGCCATAATGGAAATCATTTAGTTAAGAATAAGTCGTCTTTCAAATTAAATGACATACCCGTGCAATTCCATTCTTGGGAGATTGGTAGGTGGGCCCTTCTTTATACTCACCATACCAATAGTACGTCCTTGATATTTTATCAAACAGAATGCCCCCTCCATGGGCTTGAATGGGATTTCCATCAGTATCCAACCAAATTCTCCCAGGATGATAGTAATAACTATCATTTCTATCATCCTTCATTGGATCTACAGCACTCTCCTGCCCAGGAAAAAATACGTGTCTCAGTTGGGATTCTTCATTCAGGAATTCATCTATCAGTGTGGTTGCCCGCTTAGGTCTGCGTTTTTCTGCCCGAGGAGACCTCTTTCCTCTTGGTGGGGGAATTTGAATGTTCTCCTCATCCACTTGTTGAAGTTCATGAAATAGAGGATGATGACTTGCAAGCAATTGGAACTCTCCATACTCTGTGGCTTTGCGGCGAACATTGGAAAACAAATTAAGCAACAGAAGGCAACCAACCAAGCTCCATATCACAACAGATGTTGAGCACCTGCTTCCACCGTAGCAACGTAAAGTAGCAGATTTCCTGTGTTTGTTCCTCATCCTCATTTTCTCTTCCTGTTGTCTTCAAGATAACGTTTGGCCTTAACGAGTTGCAACCTATGGCCAACAACCCAACTAAATATAAGTGACAGGCTTCCAATCCACATTGTAGTGAAGAGAATACCCATTCATTGGGATGCATAAATGAAAGTACTGAAATTGGTGACACAGGGTTTCATAATTGGACTTCGTCCCTCTCCTGGTTACATGATTTATACATGCATTTTGAACGAAAAGTTAAATTACTAGAAGCACAATACTCAATTTATTATCTGACATCCTCTCTCACTCGTACATGTTGGCCGGAACTAAGGAAATTTTTAAAGCACCAAGGGCCCCTTGGTGATCACCAAGGAAAACATTCGCTTTCCAATACACAAGAAATCAAAAAGAGATACATTATAATTTTATTACCATAGTTTAGTTATAGAGTTTTATACTTATTTGTTTTGTATGGTGGATGGCGTTTTCCATTCTTACCATTCTACCAAACACTCTGTGAGACTACCATATTTCGTATCTAAGTAGTAAATAGTAACCGCCATCAATTCATCATATGAATTTTCAGGAAACGAAAAGGAATTAATGCACAAAGACAATCGGACTAACAACTGCTTAGCTACGGTAAAGAACTAGGTGCAATACGATATTTCCCATTAAAACAAAGGCATCAGAATTCGATCCCAAGTGTCAGGCGTCTAGACATTCCCACAAAACCATAAAATAGCTCGGTCCCAAAAGACATCGCTTCCGAATGAAGCAAACAGAAACTCATCAGCAGATACTCGGGAAAGAAAAAGAAGGAAACACAGAACGTAATAGATACAGGATAAAAGCTTCTAAAGTCAGAAACCAGAAAGCAAGGCGAGGCAAGAATCGAAAAAATCACCAGGTATCGGCCGAACTGCGAGAAGAACAGTACAGTCGGACATGGAATTCTCTTGCCAGCGATGTTGCTGATAGAACCAGCTAACTACGGTAAGCCCATTTGCCAGGAGAACAGCAAGTCAGGGGAGAAATGGAGGACGATGAAAAGGATATTAATTAGATGTGAAGAGAAGTTTGGATCTGAGGATGACGATGTTGACTAGATACCAAAGCTGGTGTCTCTGTCCGCCAGTGAGGTTCGGTCCCTAATCCCTAATGCCTCGCAGGTCTCAAAGCTTTCACTCTTTCGTTTTTCCTTTTTTGTTTTTATTTCCATGTACTGTTGTTAGCGATATAACCTGCAGGAAATAATACAATCCTATAATTCACCGTTTAGTGTTTAGCATCCAAAATGACTGGAGCGGTTGGCTGGCAATGGCAACATAATCATTTAATTGCAGCATCTATATTTACGTGAACACCACGCGATTCACTTCACTCGCTTCTCACGCTCCCATTTTTATTTGACTAATTTTATATCTCACCAGGCCACCGATGAAGATCAACCTTGTTACACATTTTCAAAATCAATCTTTTTTTATTCTCTAACATCATGCCAAACAAGTTAGTTTTTTCTCCTTATCACAGTCCAACCATTATCCCTAAAATCCAAAAGCTAATTAGAAGAACTTTGTTACACTGGCTTCGCTTTCTCTTTTAAAAAACTTATATCTAACCTCAGTTTGAATTTTTTAATGTTCAAGCTCCTCCAACTTAAATTTTTTTATATTTAAACTCTCTATCTAATTGTTCCTTTTATCAGAGGTCCCATACTAGATGAACTTATGTGGTATTTCTACTTGAGGAGTCAAATCGCTGATCCATACTCACTTTTCTCAATCAAAAGAAATAATCCAAACTCTTAATCTTGACTAATGTAGTATTTATGCAACTATCGCTAAACAATACATCATCCTTGAGATAGCATAGCTCTTGATTGATTGATAAATTGCCCATAGTTATACACATCTTCATGTCGGAGCCATTAGCCTTATTCTTGCCTTTCTTGGAAGAAGAGGTATGGTAGTCACTGTTAGAATTGCTTTACTAAATTTCACCTTCAAATCACATATAGCGTCCTAATCGGTGCTATGTTAACTACTCTCAGTAATGAGATCGTGGTTCTTACCATGACCCTTGATTTTAATATCAAACTTACAAATCCAACCCTTTCTAGAAAACTAATATAATAAAATATATGTGACAATCAAATGTATTATTTTTGTAAAAATTATTATACATTATTTATTTTTTTACCATTGTCATTTCCCTTTTTATTGTTTTTATTTTAAAATATAAATATTATTTATTATTTGTCTTGACCCTGAAAAAGCTAGAAAGTAGGATTTTATTTCCTTGCCATTGTCAGAATAAAACATGCTTGAGATTCCCAAATAGAGAGGCTGACTTGGATTTGTCTACTAAACTAACCTAAACTAAACATGCCCGCAATCACTGAAACTGCTCATAGCATCTCAGTGCTAGAAGATATTACACATTATTCAGATAAATTTGTTGTGTGTTATTTCATTATTTGGATGGGACGACGGAATTGGCATGACCCGATTTAGCAAGTCTATTAATTGATACTTTCACGTGCATCAAAACGTCTGTTGATTGTTTAATCTAGTTTCAATCAAAATATTTGCATGCTTTCAAAAGTAAAGTAAAGAAATGACTAGTTTTGTTTTCTTCTGCACGTAAAATTATTATATTACTATCAATAAAACACAAGTTCTGCCTGATTAAAACGTGCATGTATTTTTTATTACAATCGATTCCATAAAACATATAGATGGAGAATTATAGAACATTCCATCTATTGTTGGTAGCTGCTTCTTCGTATATTATTATTTTTAGTGATGGCTTCTTCTCTCCCACAGAAGGCAAAGACGAAGTTTCTCTCCCATAGTATGTCTGGGAATTTAATGTATAATGAAAACATATAGAGCAATCCTTAATATAATAAAGTAAAATAAAATAAAAGGTTATGTATGTTGCTTGGAAGCTTTATCGAGGGAAGCTAAGGAAAGGTTTTATTTGACTAGCCATTGTTTAAAAATGACCATAAAATAGATAAAATGTAAGGTCGGATCATAGCCTTTTGTTTCCAATATTAGCCTTAGAATTTAATTTATGCAACATTCTTTTGAGCAAAAACACATTTAAGATGGCGTATTCATAATTTTATTTAAATGATTATTTCAAAGGGACAACTGGCTTGCTTGTGAATGTTCAGTTCAGGAGGGGGGTGGGGAAGGCTTGTGATTATACCCTTGTGAGATGATCATAGTATAAGGACTTGAACTCATAAAAAGTCCAAACGATATTATTAATTTTTAATTTTTTAAATAGTTCGTAGAGATATTTTAATATTTTTTAAAATAAAAAATATTCTATCTCCTTTTTAAATACAAATTTTATAAAATTTACGAATTCTTAGTTTCAGAAGATTCATTCTTCTATGTTGTAGATAATTAAATATAAGTTATTTTTTTAATGCAAGGTATCCATGGCAAAAAAATAAAATAAAAGTAACGACAAACACAGCAAAATCAACTTAGATAAAGTCATACATATTGCCCACGTCGCAACCTTAATTTTTGTCTTCCAGATGATAGAAAAGGGGCTCGTGGTAAACTAGTAAAAATCTAGCGACAAGGTTGACTGTAATTGGCTAGACTTCAATTTTTTTTTTTTTTTACAAAAATCTCTTCTTAATTGAAAAATTCAATTACACCGAATCTAAATTAAAATAAAAACATAAAGTGAGAAAATTTAAATTTATAACGAAGACCAAGCATATATTTTATTAAGATTAAATTCTTAAACTTACATATTTTTTCCCTTTGCAATAAAGAGGCAAGCAAAGCTTGAAATTAGAGAAAATAAAAGTTGGAAAAAGATAAAAGCAACGACAACTAGACCTAATCTAGGAAATCAATAGCAGGCACAAAACGCCTGTCAATTGTCATCCTAATTAGCTTGGGCACAATTGTGATGCACATGCGAGAACAGGCGAATGTTAGAGAGTCAAGGAAAGGAACACCCTTAGCCAGTGACTCCGCACAGCGAATCACTCGTCTTGGGAACTAACTCATCTGAACATTTCATTAATCATGTATCATCTCACGTGCTCCTAAAAGAATTGCTCGGAGAGGATGGTCAATCGAGCTCTCGTGCAACAGTAGACCAATAGCATTAAGTGAATCTGAGTGGACACAAACCTTGGTGAAGTCTATATTTTTGTAGACCTCCATCCCTCTTTTGATAGCCATTACTTCTGCTGCAGTTGAGCCTTGGCATCCTAGGTTCTTCATTACAATTTTTTTTTTCCCAAGTAATGATGTGCGCAAAAAAAGACATGGACCAGGCATATAAGAGGAACACTGGGGGAGAGAGAAGATCTTTTTGTTGGTGGAGAGTGTGACGAACTAGCCCAAGATCGAATGGACAAGGAAACGAGTAATGGGCTAGGAGGTGATATTGAGCTTAAGAGCCCATGCCGGAAGAGGTTGGTATTTTCTGGGAGGGGCAAGAAGTGAGAAGGCAGTGAATCAGGGGTGTAGGATGAGAACGAAACACTCTCAAACCGTGTTCCGTTTTGAAACAAAAAATTAAGATTAAATTTTAATCTCATGTTCCATCTTATCTCAAAAGTTATCTCATCTCGTTAGGAGTTGGGACGAGACAAAATCAAGAAGATGGGACGTCCCAATAAATGAGATAATATTAAAAAAAATTAAATAATAACATTCATTGAAATTTTAAATCATATAATTTATTAAGTTTAAAATTAAAACAACACAAGTATATAAATCATAATAATTTAAAGTCAATTATTAAATTATATTAATCACAACTACACATTATAATAGCAAATATAAGTGATCTTTATGTTATAAGAGTAGCAACAACAGGCAAATCAAGCACAACATCAAATCATCGTTCTTCTACTTTAGTAAAAATGTGCTAAGCTAATTACTCTTTAAAAAATAAAGCAAGAGATACATTATAAATAAAAGTTATTAAATAGATAGATATAAAAATAAATTATATTAATATGTTATAAAGAAAGATATCGCCATGTTTATTCCATGTCATTAAAATTATCAATATATAAAAATTTTAGTTTTAAATAAGAATTAAAAGTATTAAAATTATAATTGATATAATTAATAAAAATATAAATTATATTAATATAATTAATATATTTAAAATAAAAAATAATATATATAATAGTCGGGACAAGACAGGACGTTCCGATAATAATCCCGTGTCTCGTCCCATCTTTTATGCCTCGTTTGATATCCTGAAAATGTTTTTGATAAAAATGAAAATGGATATGGAAATGAAAATGAAGGTGAAAATAAGTTTTAAAAGTATGCTTGGTATGTACATAAATTATGATATATTTTTTATTTAATATATATATTTATATAATCAATATACTAAAATACCCTTGTCAATTTTTCTAATTATAATATACTTTTTATTTAATATATACATTTATATAATTAATTTACTAAAATATCCCTATCTATTTTTTAAATTATGATATATTTTTTAATTAATATATGTATTTATATAATCAATTTAATAAAATATCCCTATCTAATTTTTTTAATTATGATACACCTTTTTATTTAATATGTGTATCTATATAATTAATTCACTAAAATACCCTTGCCAATTTTTTTAATTATGATATATTTTTTATTTAATATATGCATATTTATTAAAAAAATTTGATTTACTTTAATGATTGATGAATGAGCAAATCTGTCAAACAATTTTATAATTGAGATTTTTTTATCTAAAAAAATTCACTTTTATAAAACTCATCTCATTTTTATGGATCTTATTATAAAATTTAATTCAACTTATTTTAATGAATTTCATTTCAATATGAAAATTTATTTTTTACATATTAAATAAAAAAATATATGAATTATAATTTTATTTTTATTTTCATTTCTAACATATCAAACGGAATATTAAAATTTTATCACGATTATTTTTAAATTGAAACAAGACCTATTTTTTAATATGATCGAACAGGTTCAAGTTCGTGAATGTCGGCTTCTTCCTCTGGACTCTTCTCTCTCTCTATCTGTTTCTATTTCTACTTTTACTGCTTATGCATGTAATCTGCACTTGTTTCATTTTATCCTGTAATTGCAAATTCTGTATCAGATTTTGTGATTAAGTAGGACTATTGTTGTTGGAAAGTGGTGAACATAAAGGTGCTTTCACTGAGAGACCTAATGGCAG